AACAACATCAGTAGTGAGGCAGTGTTTATAGAGAGTTCCACCCAGCGGCTCTTTGTTAATGAAATGCACCTCAAGCAGTCTGTTTCCATCTGCACACTCCACTCCGAGGCCCCCAAACCACCAGGCCTGCTGCTCAGAACAGCCCAGAGATTCAGGTGAGCAGGTTAGAAAGCTTTGAAATAAAAACAGGATGCAAGAAAAAAAATTTATACTTGTTACATAATTTCTTTGTCAATTATACACCAATAAGGCTGGGGGAAAAGCCACTTATTTACTAACACACTAACGACAATAATACTACAATAATCAGACTGCACACTTTGGGAGGTTCCAGTTAAATGGGCTTCCAGAGATTTTCTCTGCTCGGTGAGCCTGTGTCCTGCAGGGGAGTTGGTGGCGAACTCAGTGGCCTGGGCTGGGTTTGTGCCTCTGGAACAGGAGCTCGCTAGCCAGTACGCCAGCCCCAGGTCCCCACCCCCACCCCCCACCCCTGCCACATCAACCTCCCCTCCCAAGGCTCAGGTTGTCTCCGGGCTTCTGATCTGCTCTGACCCATTGCCCATACTCAACCTTAGCCTCAGCTTCTCCTTGCCTTTCTCTCCATCCCGCTGATCCCAACTACTAACAGCTTTTCCCTGACCAGACCTTGCATTTAAGCCCTGGCTGGTATTTTTGAAACACCTGTAGGAGTTGCCACTGCAAACATTCATCTAAAAGGACTCCCCCTCCTACTTCTTTATTTCTGACAATGGTAGCATAATTCTCCAGAGCCGTGAACTGGAAAAAGTGAAGCCCGAATAGTTCCCAAACCTCACAGTGCACTTGGACCCCTTCCTCTCCTTTCTCCTGGGTCCTTTCTTTGAAGTAGTTCCTGACTTCCCTCTTCCTTTAGGTACCGTTTGCCATGATAATCACCTCATATCTGCCTCTCTGACTTTGTTTCCTTCATTTCTAGTGCACCCAAGATCCCTAGGGCAATAAATTTATCCTGCTCCTCTTCCACTCAAAAACCTACAGTGAACCCATCAGCCATAGACAGAGGGTAAAGCTGCTGCCCGGTACCCGCATCCCCTGGTTGGAGTGCCCCCAGCATGGGGAGAGCAGTCACTGAAAATGATCCTTAAGAGAATTTCCAATGATAAGAGAAAATATTAAAAGATAATGTTAAATAATGCAGAATGATATAAACAATTTGAGCTCAAGTATTTTAAAAAGTGCACTTAGTATTTTAAAAGTGCACTTAGACTAAAAGAGAGTCCTATAAGGACACATACAAACTGTGAGTCATTACCACTAAGCAAGAAGCTTGAACATGTTACTGTTGAAAAAAATGGTCCTGGAGTTTAAAAAATATGTTTACTGTATATTTACGGAAAAAAAAGAAAATGCACTAACATGTCAACAATGGTTACCTCTGGCAGGATTGTGAATGGTTTGTTCTCATTCGTTTGTTTTGTGAGTTTTTTCGCTGTGGCAAGTTCTGAGCACATGGTGAACAAAACAGGGCTCCTCTGTTCCCCCACTTTGCTCTGCCTGACATCAACCCCCTTTCTCTGAGCTCCCTATTTGACAAGTTCTGAGAACATTCTGTTTGCTGTGTGCACACCTCATACTGCAATTAGACTCTAAGTAGCTAGAAGACAGGGAAGGTCTTGTAAAACTACAAGCTCTTGCTGCTCCAGTCTAGTGGCATCCCACGGCAGGGGCTCAGCCACTACTTGTGGAATGAGTGAGTGAATGAATGAATGAATGAATGGTGAGGCGCGGTCTGCCAAAGGACAGAAAGGCTGGTGGGTAGCCCCACCTTCCCTGATGCCATATGTACTTGTCCAAATAGCCAAGGCCTGGGCCCAACCAAACTCTTAAATGCTTTTCCCCAAAGACTGGTTCCAATGGCCGAAAGCCTCCTCTTGAACAAAAGCTGGGGCCCGATGCCACTGAGGTCTGTTCAGGTTCCCAGGGTTAACCCTAGAGCACCGATAATGGTCATGACCATGACAAACATCAGCAGTTTTACAAAAAGAGCACCCAATAAACAAATATCCAATTAATACTCGTATCACTCCAAATTCTCTTCTTGGCATTGGTTATATAAATTCACACTTTGCATAGGTGTAATCAGGGATATTTCAATTATTTAGCAACTGGTATGGCCTCAGAAAGATACTAGTCCTGTGCTAGAGCAGCTTTTATTAGGCCTCTGGTGTGCTTGACATTAACCCTTGCAGGGGTGTCCAGCCCATGGCCGGTGGACTGCATGCAGCCCAGATGACTGAGAATCCAGCACAACACAAAAATTGTATATTTACTTAAAACACGATGAATTTTTAAGAATATTTTATTTATTTATCTTTAGAGGGGAAGGGAAGGAGAGAGGGAGGGAAACATCAATGTATGGTTGCCTTTCATGCGTCCCCTGCTGGGAACTGGTCTGTAGGGAACCGGCCTGCAACCCAGGCATGTGCCCTGACTGGGAATCGAACCGCGATTGGTTCGCAGGCCCGCACTCAATCCACTGAGCTACACCAGCCAGGGCCTCACGATGAATTTTTTTGTTTGTGATTATGTATTACAAGGTATTTAATGTGTGGCCCAGAGATGCCAAAGGTTGGTTACCCTAGTGGCTGTATTCTGCAGGGGAATGACAGGGACACACTCAAGGAAGTGGGTATTTCAACAACTGGTGTGGCCATACAGGCATGAACTTGCTGAACTTCGCCAGTCTGGCTGGATCTGGAGTGAGTGTGAATCCAGCACAGAAGGCTTGGGAACAACCTGAAGAAACAGCAGGAAGCAGGCCCAGAGGGGAAAGAGAGTGTGGTCCATTTTGGAACTAAAAGTAGCTCAGTCTGACTGAGGGAGGGAATGGGAAGAATGAGCTGGAAAGGGAGACAGGAGCCAGCTCCAGGTTACAGCTTCTCTTTTGCTTCGGGTTTATGTCATGGGGGTCAGCTAGCTCAGACTAGGGGGAGCAGGACTAATGGTGTCCCAGGAAGCAGAACTTAAAGTGCTAAAACCAGGAGGGCCGCTTCCCCTAAGTACGCATACACTTCTTTTTGCTCCTGTGAATAATCCCAGCCTGCTCTTCAGAGAGACCACGGCACGCAGAACTGGAAACACAGCAGGATTTTCCAAGCCAGCAGGAAATCAGCTTTCACTAATTTTTTTGTGAAAGTACTTATCTGAAAGGTACTAGTTTTTGTTCATACTTAAGTTTATATAAAGCTAGTATTTCTAAATCCAACTCCTTCCCCTTCGTCTCAAATTAAAATTTTGTCAACAAGATACAAGTTAGCTTTCCCTGGCCAGGTTGCTCAGTGGTCGGAGCATCATCCTGTACACCAGAAGGTTGCAGGTTCAATTCCTGGTAAGGGTGCATATCAAGGTTGTGGGTTCGATTCCATCAGGAGGACCTGGATGGGAGGCAACCAACTGATGTTTCTCTCTCTCCCTCAAATCAGTAAATATATCCTTAGGTAAAGATTTATATATAGAGAGAGAATTTAGCTTGATAGTCCAGAGCACAGGCTCTGGGACCAAGCACCTGGACTGGTGTCCAGCTGTGTCACTTACCAGCCATTGTCCTCTCTGGGCCTCAGTTACCTTGTCTGTAAAAAGGACTTAAAATAGTACTTACCTCAGAGAATGTTCTCTAGTGCACGCACCTAGGGAGTGCTCTGCAAGAGTGAACTATTACTGCAGTCACCTTCCCCTTGGGTCAGGGCAAGCTTTTTCAGATAAAGTCAAGGCCCTGCCTGAGAGTGAACAATGCAAATTCACCAGGTCATGTAAGGTCCACAGTTTTGTTTTTTGTGCTTCAGACAGGGAAAACAAAAAGAAACTAGCATTTATTCAAGTCATCGTTCTAATATACTGGTATTGTTATTGTGTTTATTTTATAGATGAGGAAAAAACCCAGCTTCATTGAGTACTTGCCTGAAGCCTCATGGGTAAGAGAGGCAGGGTCTCAGAGCCCAGGTCTGTTGTTGCTCCCAAGACACCCCCTTTCCATCTTCCCCTTCAGAACTGTGGCTACAAAGCAGGTTACCTGTTGTTTTATTATCTTTTGCCTTATATACAGTATTTACCATTGTGACATTTGGTCAGAGATCTTCTTAAAATTTTGTGTTGTAACCCATTGTATTGAGACATTATTCACGTTCACGATGCACCCATTTTAACTGCACAGTTCATTGAGTTTTGACTGTGTGTCCCCCGATGTCATCACACCACCACAGTCGACATATAAAACATTTCTGTCTCCCCTGAAACAGTCCCGGCCCTGGCTGGGTAGCTCAGTTGATTAGAACGTCGTCCCCATCTGCCAAGGTTATGGGTGGATCTCTGGTCAGGGCACATACAAGAATCAACCAACTAATGCATAGTAAGTGGAACAACATGCCCTGGCTACTGTGGTTCAGTGGATTGAGTGGTGACCTGCAAACCAAAGGGTCACTAATTTGATTCCCAGTCAGGGCACGTGCCTGGGTTTGCCGGCCAGGTCCCCAGTGGGGGGAGTGCAAGAGGCAACCACACACTGATGTTTCTCTCTCCATCTCCCTCCCTTCCCTTCTCTAAAAATAAATGAATAAAATATTAAAAAAAACATTTATGTACAAATCTTTCTGTGGACATATGTTTTCTTTCTCTTGGGTAAATATCCAGGTATGGAATTGCTCGGTCATAAAGGAAGTGCATGTTGATAGTTGTACTATTTCATATTCCCACCAATAAGAAGTTCCAGATGCTCCACAGCCTCACAACCCTTGGTATTGGTGCTCTTTTTTTTTTTAATATTTTATTATTTATTTATCTTTAGAGGGGAAGTGGGGGAAGGAGAGAGGGAGAGAAACATCAATGTATGGTTGCCTTTTGTGCGACCCCTGCTGGGAACTGGCCTGCAGGGAACTGGCCTGCAACCCAGGCATGTGCCCTGACTGGGAATCGAACCGCGATCGTGTGGTCCGCAGGCCCGCGCTCAATCCACTGAGCTACACCAGCCAGGGCTATTGGTGCTCTTTTTAAACATTTTGTATTTTACTGTTGTTGTTGCTATTGCTTTTAAATACAAAAATCTTATCATTTTAAAAGTAAAGTAAATCTTATCATTTAAAAAGTTGTAAAACAGCTTCTGCAACAGACCATTTTCGGTGAGTATATAGGCAAGTTTAATTCAGATACATGCAGTGTGATACAGTATAACCATGTAAATGCATATTAACATGTCAAGTCATGCATTCATTCAACAGACACTCCCCAAGTCCCTACAGCGTGTCAGGTCTTAGCATCTAAAAGTTTGGAGACAGATGAGGGCTGGTTGTTAGGTTTTATGGGGTTTCACATTAATCAGAGGAAGTTCTGATTAGGCACCTGGCTTAGGCATCTTTTGCCTGAGGCCTCACAGGTAAAGAGAGAGCCAGGATCTTGGAGCCCAGGTCTATCCTAGACTAAGGAACCAGTATGAAGCATAGCGACTGCCTATGAGGCAGTGCTCTGAATACCATTATTTCCTGGGCACTGTCCCCAAATGTCTCTAAGTGGACTGGCTTTCAGAGAATCCCAGAATGTTGAAGATGGTCACAGTTGAGGGAAGTTGAGGTTGATGGTGGAGGAGGAGAGGAGCTGAGTGGCTAGGTGACTTGTCCAACAGCAGCGTCTGGTTGAGTGTGATTTTGTATCTGAAAAGGGGGCCTGGAAAGACGGCATGGAGCGGGTGGAGGGGACAGCCCAGGCCAGCCCGGGAGGGGCTCCTGCAGAGGTGGTACAGGTGCACAGCACGGACCCCACCAAGGCACCCATGCTCCCTAAAAGAAGTTTATAAACTATATCAAATACTAAAACTTAGAATTTTAAGACCAAATAGTTGCAAAGGATACCAATTCTAGCATATTGTTAATATTGATGTTTAAATAAACTACTACTTTGCTCTTTTAAACATATATATTGGAACCTCAATACTAAAACAATCTGATACGCTCCATCATCCCTTAAAAAACATGTGAACTAGCTCTTCTCTGACAGTTGGAAATTTTACATTATTCATTTTCTCTTTCAGTATTTCTAATCTTACTGTAATGTATGTTATGCTTGAAAGTTTTTATTGACACCTTATCTGAATTATTTTTAATTAGCATATATATATTTAAATATTATAATGTTACATTTATTTTTTGTTGTAAGGCTCTGAGTTTTTATTTCGCTCACCACCTGGCCCTGGGTGTATCCAAATTCATTACCTCCCGTGTTGAGGGGCATGTCTTTTTCTCAGGTGTCAGGCAGGGTGCAGAGAATCAGTGTCACTGAACTGTCCTAGGCGACCATGTCCTCAGAGTCAGGGCCGTCACTGGCGGCACGACCTATACCAGGCTGGGGGACGGGAAGAATGGAGGCAAAATTTTCTAGGTCTTGACATTGTTTTCTTTTGAATTAAGTTATTATAATATCATCCAAATGATCAAAACATAAACACATTACACATTTTCATAAAAATATACATAAAAAGTAAAATTGTATTAGAAATACATCTCTTGATGACATGCATAGGGATTTTTTGTTTTTATTTCAATTAGTTCATGTATTTGTGGATAGAATGCTTGACTGAAAGAAAGTTCAGCATCAATTCTCTTCTTACATATTTTTTGTTTTGTGTTGATATAAATGTAGAGAAACTTTGTTCACATAAATCACTAGATAGGAATGACAGGAGCTTTGGTATAACAGTGGTGTTAGAATATTTGACCCCCCCTTCAAAGTTACATGCCAAAAATGTTAGTGATTTTTTTTCAGTTAGCTAAAACCTGCTTAGGTTCTCAAATTGCATTCAAGTTAAAGAACTAGACACCATCTGATGTTCAAAGGACTTGTTATCTCGTCTTTGCTGTTTCTGTGGGAACACCAACAGTAATTCCAGTGGCCTCTCTGCAAATGTTTATGCCCTGAAGCAATGCACTGTGGTGGAAGGGGTGTTCCGCCATTCAAGTTATTGAGTGGTCTACTTTCTTTTCCTTGAAGAGAAGTGGGGGAGGTGGAAGGGAACCTACCCTTTGGACCTTCTCTTGCTGGTTACTTTTGGAAAAGAGTCAAGGGAAGCTGGGGCTCTGGACACCAATTCCCTTACAACTATTGGTTTATTATGTCCCTTAGGATGTGTGAATCCTAGTTTTGAGGACTGCAGACCTGAGGATGCTTTTATTTCTTACCTAGACCAGTGTCCTCTTCCCTGCTGCCCAATGGCTTCTTTGGGGCCACTGGGCCTACAACCCTGGAAGGTGGTGGGGAAGAAAGTGAGCAGGCTGGGTCCCCAACTGCCTTGCGTGGGGCTTTGCCATTTACTCAGCGGGAGAAGAGATAATAGTAATAGGAAGGGAGTAGGCTTTTTGAGAATTGAGGAGATTTGGGTAGGTTTGAAACCAAATAGGTAAAAGAATAGATTTATGACCTCTTGTAAAGAGTTGTGAAGAGGCTGAGTGAGCCAAGAGACTTCCTTTCTTCAGCATATTTTAATAGGAGCCAACAATGGGCCAGGCCCTGTCCCAGTACGGGGTGCACAAGACACCTGTTCCTGCCCTCAGTGAACAGTCAACCCAGGGAGGAAAAGGAGGGTGGGGGAAGAGAGGAAGTGGGAGGAGAAAGAAGAGGAAGAGGGGAAGAGGAAAGAGACAGAGGGAGAGGAAGGGAGAGAGAGGTATCAGGCAATTGTAATGCAGGGTGGTCATTATATAGGGTAATCAGCACAGGGGGCTCAGGAAGAACCTAGGAGGGGCCCTGATCCTGGCTGGAGGAAAAGTATCAGGAAAGCCAGTCCAGAGAACACAAAGCCCTAGGAATAAATTCTCAAGCATCTGGAGGAGCTGGTGCATTCTGGGCATATCCTTAGATCAGCACTGAGAGATAATAACAGACCCAATGGAGTTTAATGGAGTTTAACTGACAATGAGGCAAAGAACTGCTTGGTTTCCTTAATAAGTTTTGTGGTTCTATGTTAAAATGTATATACAAAAGAAAAAAACAAAAAAGAAAAAAATGTATATACATATGTTGTCATGATTAAAAATTAAATTTCAGGAACTCCCGGTTAAGATGGAGGTGTAGGTAGTCATGCTTTGCCTCCTTGCACAACCATAGAAAGAATTACAACCAGATCTCAAAGACAAATAACAACCAGAATGTCAGAAAATCAAACCGTATGGAAGTATGACAACCAAGGATATAAAGAAGCCACATTCATTCAGAAGGGTAGGAGGGGCGGAGTTGCAGAGCAGGGGTATAGAGGATGCAGTGAGGTGTGGAGAAGCGGTGGCAGCGGAGGAACAAACGGTTCATGTGTGGTGGATAAAAATCACAAGGGACACCTTGGGAACCAGTGACCCTGGCCCTAGGCCAGATTGCATAGTCCAGAGTTCCAGCACCAGGAAGATGCTGGAACCCCCATCACCTCTGGCTATAAAACCCAGTGACATTGGGGCAGTAGAAGAAACTGCTGGATTTTTGCTACTGAGAGGGCCCACATAGACTTAGAACATATGCAAACCCCAGGGGTGGCTGGAAGGGCACCAATCACATATGGGAGGTGGGTGGAAGCAGGGGGAAAGTGCCCATTAGGCCTCCAGAAGCCAGGCAGCAGCACTGACCCCTCTCTGAGCTCCCCACCCCACACCCCCACAGAGCCACAAAGCAGTGAAGCAGGTTGCCCTGCCCTGAAATCACCTACGGCCCCACCGACACAATTTACAGGTGCCTTTCCTACATAGCCCACACTACTAAGACAGGGAGTTGAAGCAGCTCTACCTAATACATAGACGCAAACACAGGGAGGCTGCCAAATTGAGGAGGCAAAGAAATATAGCCCAGATGAAAGAAAAGAACAAAACCCCAGAAAAATAACTAAATTGGAGATAGTCAACCTATCAGATGCAAAGTCAAAACACTGGTGATAAAGATGCTCAAAGAACTCACTGAGTAAGGCAACAACATAAAGGAAGAAATGAAGAATACCCTAAGTGAAATAAAGAAAAATATACAGGGAACCGACAGTGAAGGGAAGGAAGCCGGGATTCAAATCAACAATTTGGACAAAAAGAATAACTAAACATTCAACCAGAACAAAAAGAAGAAACAAGAATTGAAAAAAATGAGGAGAGGCTTAGGACTCAATGGGACAACTTTAAATGTACCAACATCAGAATCACAGGGATGCCAGAAGGAGAAGAGGAAGAGCAAGAAATTGAAAACTTATTTGAAAAAATAATGAAAGAAAATTTCCGGAGGACTTCCGCCAAGATGGAGGCATAGGTGGATGTGCCATGCCTTCTCACACAACCAAGTTTAGAGACAACTAAATATTAGCAACAGAAAACACAGCCAGAACACAGAAAATTGAACTTTTCGGAAGTCCATTAACAACAAATTCTTCAGTCTGACCGGTAAGGGGTGAAACCAGCGGCTGGTGAAGCGGGATTGCACAGGTCTCGGTCAGCCGGACTCAGGCGCGGAATCCAGACGCGCAGAATCCAGGTGCAGGGTTGGACCTAGTGAGCGACCGAGAGAGCCACCAGGCCAGCGACCTCGGGGGAGACAGCGGGGGAGCGGTGCTGCGTGTTGACTGTGGTCGCGCATTTGTGTGTGGGCGGACAGGAGAGGGAGTGGGCTGTTGGACTGGGGGCGGGCCGTCCCCCCGCAGCAAGCTGCAGGGAGAGCGCCGCCAGTTCCCTGCTCTGACCCCACCTCCACATACAGCGTCATAACCCAGCGACTCTGAGTGGCCCGGCCCAGGGGAACCACCTAAGACCTCGCCCAGCTGTGAGAAACAACAGAGGGGGTCGCCATTTCCCCGCTCTGACCACGCCCCCACATACAGCGTCACAACCCAGCGACCTGGGAGTCCTAGGCACCGCTTCTCACACTTAAAGGGCCAGAACAGACCAAAAATGATGCAAGAATATCTCAAAGCCCCAGAGCCCATAGATCTAAGCGATGAAGAAATAGCAAAACTCTCAAACGCACAGTTTAAAACACTGGTCATCAGGATCCTCACAGAACTGGTTGATTATACCGACAAATTAGACAAACATATGAAGGCGAAACTAATTGAAATGAATGGAATTGCACAGGACACCAATAGCAATGAAAAGGAAACTGGGACTCAAATCAATGGAGTGGACCAGAAGAAAGCAAATAATGGCCAAACAGAAAAGAGTCAAGAAGCAAGAATTCAAAGAAATGAGGAGAGTCTTAGGAACCTCCAGGACATCTTTAAACGCTCCAACATCCGAATTATAGGGGTACCAGAAGGGGGAAAGGCACAGCCACCAGTGGAAAACTTATTTGAACAAATAATAAAGGAGAATTTCCCCAATCTGGCAAAGGGAAATAGACTTCCAGGAAATCCAGGAAGCTCAGAGAGTCCCAAAGAAGTTGGACCCAAGAAGGAACACACCAAGGCACATCATAATTACATTAGCCAAAATTAAAATGAAGGAGAGAATCCTAGAAGCAGCAAGAGCTAAGGGGACAGTCACCTACAAAGGAGTCCCCATCAGACTGTCAGCGGATTTCTCAAAAGAGACCTTACAGGCAAGAAGGGGCTGGAAAGAGGTATTCCAAGTCATGAAATCCAAAAACCTACAACCAAGATTGCTCTATCCAGCAAAACTTTCATTTAGAATGGAAGGACAGATAAGGTGCTTCTCAGATAAGATCAAATTCAAGGAGTTCATCATCACCAAGCCCTTATTATATGAAATGTTAAAGGGACTTATCTAAGAAAAAGAAGATAAAGAAACATGAACAGTGAAAGGACAACAAACTCACAGTTATTAACAACCACACCTAAAACAAAAGCAAACTAAAAGGACAGCTAGATCAGGAGTGGAAACATAAAAATGAAGATCTCAAGGAGGGTTAGCAACAGGGGAGTGGGAGGAGGAGAAGGGGGGAGAAGGTACAGAAAATAAGTAGCATAGACAGTAGATAGAAAATAGATGGGGGGGCAAGAATAGCATGGGAAATATAGAATCTAAAGGAATTGAGACACATGGACATAAACTAAAGGGAGGGTAATGGTGGGGACAGGGGGTAGGGTGGAGGGGAATGAAGGGGGGAATAGAACAACTGTAACAGCATAATCAATAAAAAAAATTAAAATTAAAAAAAAAAAGAAAATTTCCCTAATCTGGTGAAAGAAATAGACATACAAGTCCAGGAAGCACGGAGAGTCCCAAACGAGCTGGACCCAAAGAGGACTGCACCCCAAAAAACACAAGATGACAACAAACTCACAATCATCAACGACTAAATCTAAAAAACAAAAACAAACTAAGGAAACAAGCAGAACAGGAACAGAATCATAGACATAAAGATCATTTGGAGGGTTATCAGCTGGGAGGGGAAGGGGCAAATGGGGTGGGGAAAGGGGCAGAATGGGCTGAGAAAAGGTACAGGGATTAAGAAGCATAATTAAGAACAGGGGGATGTTAAGAATAGTATAGGAAATGTAGAAGCCAAAGAACTTATATGTGTGACCCATGAACATGAACTAAGGGGGGTGGGAATTCCCAGAGGGAAGGAGGGTACCAGGTGGAGGGGAGCAAAAGGGAAAAAATTGGGACAACTGTAATAGCATAATCAAGAAAATATACTGAAAAATAATATAAAAGAAAATCAATTTCTAAACAAATGCCTAAATGTCCCATGAAGAAGAATTTTAATTGATGTATACTTCACCTTCCAGGAAACATAAACCCCCATCCTTAAGCATGGGCTGTGTGTAGTGACTTCCTTCCACAGAGGACAGTACAAAAGGGGGAAAGAGAAACTTTAAGGTGGAGAAAGCTAACAAATACTACCTCAGTCAGGTGATCAAGGTCAACATCAACAGTGATAAGTCATGTTAATGGTATGTACCTTTGATATGATGTATGGTAATAATACTTTACCAAACCTATAACACCTGCTAACCATGAAAAAAAGATATGAGACAAATTCCAACAGAGAGCATCCTACAACACTCCTCAAAATTGTCAAGGTCATCAAAAACAAGGAAAGTCTGAAAAATTTCCATGGTCAAGAGGGATGGGCCTAACATGACAACTGAATCCCTTCTGATGTCCTGGCACAGAGAGAGGATGTTAACTAAAAACTAAGGAAGTCTGTATTTTGAACTAAAGCACGGACTCTAGTTAATAACAGTGTGTCAATATTGGTTCACTAATTCTAACGAGTGTACCATACTAATAATGTAAGATGTTCATACTAAGGGAAATTGAATGTGAGGTATATGGAAATGACTACCTTCTCACTTTTTCTGGAAACCTAAAACCATTTAAAAAACACCTATTTTTAAAAAATAAATTACTTATGTCAATTAAATGATTCCTTTTGGCCTGGGTCTTCATTCAGCTCACAAGTACTAGTAATAGTCAACCCATACTAGACATTTTATAGGTATGGGCACAATGCTGAGTGATATGGATACCTTATAACACTCAAAATAGTGTAAGGCAACTTTTTCTCATTTTACAAATGTAAAAACAGAAGCATGACAAAGCTCATTCATGCAACTGTTTAATAAATATTTATTAGTGAGTTAGTGACTGCCCCACAGGTGTGGGGGTCTCTTTCAATTAATTCCCTGCAGGGGCCTCAGATGCCAATGTTCAGATTGAGCTCAATCACATGGTCCTAGGTCAAATTCACCTGCTTTTGCATACCAAACCTCTCTCCCTGGCCCAGCAGTCACCCTTTATCTGTCCCACAGCAGCTACCACCTGGTTTGTGAGGGGTAGGAACTAGTGGATCTGCCTGCAGCTGTGAGTTCCCTAAGGCACCTCTGTATCCCTTTGCTCAGCAAAGTTCAAGTTATTTCCCACAGTCAGCTTCTGTTATAAAAGCATAATGCCTACACTTCATAATTAGGTGCCAGTAAATGGTGAGGACAAGAAAAGCCATAGCAGTTTTGAGGGGGAGCTGTACAGGTCCAGGGAGACCTATAGGGAGGACTGGAGAGTGGCTGTCAGATTAAAGCCACATTTGGAGTTTATGGAGCACGTGCTGTTAGACATCACGCTATAGTAGTGAGCTTTCTACCAGACAACCTCATTTACTCTTCCAAACAGACCTAGGTAATCATTGTATCTATTTCTGTAGACGAGGAAACTGAAGCTAGGAGCATCAGGTGTGCAATGTCACAGCTAGAGTGACTGGGCTGGGCAGGGATAAGAGCACTGGTCTGTGGTTCTTATTCCAAAGTCTAGCCTAAGGATTTAGTAATGAGTATGTGGAAGAATACAGCTGTAATCACCTCAACAGGGAGTATGTACTGTGTCTGTAGCAAGCAAAACCCACTCAGGCCCCACCCCACATCTCAGAGAGCAGTGGAGCCCAATAGGGAGGCTTTGGAAACAGTCAGACAGCTGGAAGGACTCTGCGTCTGGGAGACACAAACCACCATGCTAATGGGCTCCATGCAAGGAGCACACTCTCTCTGCACAGTCCAGATCTGAGAATCAGGTGGGCCCCCCACCCTCTTCTCTCAGCTTGCACTGGGGACATGGGCAATGTGCTTGGATTTGAATATTGCCTCCTGGCTTCCCACTTCCTGGCCACAGGACCTTGGACAAGTTGCTCCACAATCGAACTTCAGTGTTTACTTTTGTAATGTGGGGAAAAGAGCAGTGCCTACTTCATAGCAATAGTGTGTGCTCAAAATGAAATAACAATGATTATTAGGGACTTACTGTAGTTTGGTGCTTGGAACATTACCAGTACTCGGTAAATGTATCTTTTATGGTTATTTGACCTTTGGCTGGAGCTGTTTGTGTTTCCCTAGTGCAGATAACAGGTGATCTGGTGTGGAGCCTCAAGCAGGGAGCGGGGTAGCTCCCTCGCTAGGATCACTTTTCCCAGGGAGGCAACATCCTGCCTAATGCCCAACTCCTGCAACTTCCAAGCTCGACCTATCTGAGGCCTGTTAGGAACCGGCTGCACAGCAAGAGATGAGCTTGAATGAAATGCACTTGAATCATCTGGAAAACCGCCCCCCCACCCCCTACCCCCCCTCCCCGCGCGGATTCTGGGTGCATGGAAAAATGGAAAATGGTCTTCCACTAAGTGGTACCTGGTGCCACAAAGGTTGGGGACTGCTTCTTAGACTATGGGGCAGCGCCCCTGGCGGCGAGAGCGGCTCCCGGTTGCAGGTTATGATGGGGAGAAGTGAGACCCTGGAGCGATGGGTGCTTATCTTGGACAAAATAAGCAGTCACCCTATTCTGGGGCACTCCTGGCCCAGAGAGCCCTCGGTGGGGGCTGGTGAGGGTCCAGTTCTTTGCACCTGGCAGGGAAGTTAGGCAAGAGTATCCTGGCCACACGGTCTACCGTGCAAACCTGGACAGTTTTGAGAGCAAAGGGGGAGCTTTTTGTCATTATGCGAGGGGCTACCCGTTAAAGCAGGATGGCGGTGACTCTGGCCAAAAGCCTCCTACTTTAGCAAAGCAGAGTCCATGGGCCCCATAAAGGAACAAACTCCGAGTCGCCAACGAGGGAGAAAGAGGGAAACCCAATCGCAGTCGCACTCCCGCAAGTCTGTCATTTAGGACACCATACTTGCCTCCTAGGGCGGATCGTCCCTAGTTCCTGCCAGATTTTGCAGTTATTTGTTCCTCGCTCCTTCATACAGCGCTGTGGCCACATCTGTGGGTTTGCCCCTGCTGTGCCCTAGAGACTGGAACAGTGCCTGGCACAGAGAGTGCACTCATTTGTGTACTGGGTGAACAAATCCATCAGCCTCTTTTCTAGCATTAATTATCTATTTATTGGCTCATCGTCCCTGTTGTATTATGACAGTCAAGAGCAGTACTGTACTTTTACTTATCTCTATGACTAGCACATACCAGAGGCCAGGCACAGAGTAAGTTTTTGTTGAATGAGTGAATGGAAGCAGTCTGACACTCCTTAGCTGTGCCTTTTCTTCTCTGCCGCCTCTTCTTGCTTCCCCGCACACAGAGGAGCCACTACGGAGCAGATTAGAGGCAAGTTAGGTAGTACATGGCTTCCCACTGGCTGGGGCACTCAGCTCTGCCACTTTCTGGAAGCTGGTGGGCCCGCGGATGCGTGAGAAGAGAGATCAGGACTGCTTGCCTGTGCTTTGCGAAGGTAGGAACGAGAAAAAGATTAGATTGAGGAAAAGAAGGAGGTTCTTCTGGGGCCTAGGGCAGCGAGCTGTTTAGAAAGGTGGGAGTGGAGCTGGGTAGGATGTGTGAGCGAAGGAAACCAGGGCATGAAATGTGCTGGGGACCGGCGAGGCTGGAGCTGGATAGCGCTGGGTGGATCGGAGAAAGCGGCTGAGAAAGCCAGGATTACCTCCTAGTGCCAAAGCCCGAAACTGCAGCAAGGTACTGGAAGGAGAGGCTGTTGTTTGGCGGGGCCAGTCCACCACTCCGCTGGTCTTCAACAAGGACGCATCCAGGTCTCCGCCCCCAGCAGAAAACCGCAGTCACACTCCCGGGTCCCTACCTCCAGCAAAGAAGACTGGGTCAGGCCTTACTCCACCCACCCCCCTGGCCCGCTCCATTCACTACTCGCGACACCTCCCAGTGGCCGCCCCGGCGCTGTTCCTGCGCCTGCGTACGTGAGCGTCTGAGAACCCGGAAGTTACGTTATAGGCGCGCGTCTCGGGGGCGGGAGTCAGCTGAGCAGCCGGGGCGAGGTTGGGAACACCTGGGTTATGCTGTACGGAGTCTCTGAGCTCTTGGGGGCGGGAGTGGTGCAAGACTGCACCAGATTCACGGGGGAGGGCTCCCTGGTCTCCTCGCTCTATAAGGCGAGAGTGAGATCCTCCTCTGTATTATAAGAGGAGGAGTCAGCGGCGGATTGCCGGGACCTGTCAGATCTCTGTCTAGGCTGGGGAGTCGCAGGTTCCAGTGGGGACGACAGGGATACTTGGGGGAAGCCCTGTTGTAATCTCTGGGCTTGGGACGAAGAGTCTATAAACCAGGCACCATGGCGTCCATCCTGGATGAATATGAGGACTCCTTGTCTCGCTCGGCCGTCTTGCAGCCCGGTTGCCCCAGCGTGGGCATCCCCCATTCGGGTAAGGGAAGGGAGGGCACCGCCATCCCTCTCAGCTCCCCTGACGCCTGCGGGGTAGGAGTCGGGAGGGTGGCTCCAGACTTCTGGTTCACCTCCTGGACCTGTAGTTTGGGTCTAGGCCCCTCATTCTCCTCAGGCTCTTTTGGCCCCCATCTGGTGGATGGTTGAAGATTGAAAGAACAACAAGAACAGCTATGTAATCTAGGCCGTGCCACTAGGGTCCCCCCTAAGAGGGAAGTGGGACCCAGATAAGGAAGTGACTTGCCTACAGGGCTACACTTGAGAAATGAGAATAGGCTTCAGGATTTACCTGATTCTGTGATTTTCTCACCAGGGCCCTTCTGGTGGGAGGAAGATAGTGGGCCATGAAACTAGTGAAAGGGGATTGTTGTAGGGGAAGGAATGAATTTTGTTATGGAACTGAAGGAAATGAAGTGTTTTAGGCCTGGCATTGAGGGAAAATTTTTGTAGAAAGTAGTACAGGATTGGCTGGGCGTGTGTGAAGTATTAGAATATTTTGAGCAATAAAGGATTGAGATTGAGGTAAAGGATTGAGAGTAAAACCTAAAGAGAAAGCAGCTTCAGTTTGTTAGCCAACCAACTAGAACAGTTTTCCAGGATTCCCTCTACCTGTATTCCTCTGGATACTCACCGAGGGCATAACTGCATGGGCAGAGACGAGGGGAAACAGTGGAACTAGAGGACGCTACTTAAGCAGGGGTTGCTGGGCCAAAGATTGATAAGGGAAAATGTCCAGCATTTTCCTCCATTATCACTGGGAGCAGTTACATTTTGGTGAAACAGGGTCCCAAGTGTTCTAAGAATCAGCCCCTCACTGCTGTCAGAAGTGTGGGAAGAGCCCAGGACCCCTAATGTAGGGGTGATTAGCAAACTACTTGACATATTGATATTAAACTATTTGTTAACCGAGGTCTTGGGGTAGGAATATATTGGGGAAGTGGAGAGGAGCTGTTTTTTATCATCGTTGCTTCTCCTTACCCTTCCTCCATCTCTTCCATAGCCAAACTTTTCTTTGCTCCTTGTCTGTAGGGTATGTGAATGCCCAGCTAGAAAAGGAAGCGCCCATCTTCACGAAGCAGCGCATTGACTTTACCCCCTCTGAGCGCATCACCAGCCTTGTCGTCTCCTGCAATCAGCTCTGCATGAGCCTGGGCAAGGATACACTGCTCCGGTAAGTGAGGGTCCAAAACTTACAGGAGTATGGAGTGGAATGGTGATATTTTGGGACTGTTAACTGACTCAGGTTATTCTGCCCTCTGGGTAGGTAAACACAGAGGATTGGGAGTTTTCAGGAAATATCCTTCCCAAAGAGAAGCAGTGTAGTGCAGTAGTTCAGAATCAGGCAGACCAGGGCAGGCATGGATCAATTGGTTGAGGTGTGTGCCTGTAACCTAAGGGTCACCAGTTCAGTTCCAGGTTATGGTGCTTTCCTGAGTTGTGGGCTCAATCTCTGGTTGGGTCGCATGCAGGAGGCAGCAGATCAGTGTCTCTCTAGCACTGATGTCTGTCTGCCTGTCTGTCTGTCTGTCTGTCTCCCCCCGCCTCCCTCCTTCCCTCCCTCCTCTTCCTCCTTCCCTCCCTCCTCCCCTTCCTGACTTCCCCTCTCTCTCAAATAAGAATGAGAATAGGGGCGGGTGGGAAAAAAAAAAAAGAATGAGAATAAAAGAAACCTGTTTTAAAAAAAGGACTCAGGTAGACCTGCGTTCAAATCCCAGGTTTCTGCAGATTCCAGCTTTGTCACTTAGGAGCTATGAAATCTCATGCAAGTCACGCAGCCACTCTGAATGTGTCCCTTCATCTGTTAAAGATAATACCAACACATAAGTTAGCCACTTGGATCAGTGGAACTGTCTAGAGTCCTGAAATAAATCCACTATAAAGACATAAAATCCTTCTATTAAGACATAGAAATACTATGTCTTAATAAAGCTGGAAATAAATATATAAACAAAAATAATATATGACAAACGTATTAGGAAAATTGTTTATCTATCTGGGATAAAACAGAGCAAAGCCTCTGTATCACAAAAGTGAATCTAAGTGGAACAGTTATTTAAATATAAAAAATAAGCCCTGGCTTGTGTGGCTCAGTGAGTTGAGTGCCAGCCTGTGAACCAGAGGGTCTCTGGTTCAAGTCCCAGTCAGGGCACATGCCTGGTTTGCAGGCCAGGTCCCCAGTATGGGGTACACAAGGCAACCAAACATTGACGTTTCTCTCCCTCTCTTACTCCCTCCCTTCCCCTCTCTCTAAAAATAAATGAATTAAAAAATTTAAACAGCAGTGTGAATATTTTAAAAATTATTCATAAATGTCTGTGTTCTGGAGCTGCAGAAAGACCTTTTACTTCAGCTGGAAAATTCTTGCTCTGGCTGGTGTGGCTCAATAGATTGAGCTCTGGCCTGTGAATTGAAAGGTTGCTGGTTCGATTCCCAGTGAAGGCACATGCCTGGGATGTGGGCCAGGTCCCCAGTGGGAGGCGAGCAACAGACAACCAGTCCACGTGTCTCTCCAACATGGATGTTTCTCTCCCTCCCTCCCCTTCTCTCTAAAAGTAAATAAACAAAATCTTTTTTAAAAAGTCCAGATGCCACAGGAAGAAGAGACAATTGATTGCATAGCAATTGCCGTTGTGACAAAACAAAGGCAAAAAAGTCTATGAGTCAAGTCAAGACAAAGGTGGTGGGAAAATCATCTTTTTCCACATGACTAACAATTTACCATCTTGTTTCTTAAAAAGCCCGTACAAATTAATAATCAGACGATTCAGTAGAAAAGGGAGGGCAAAGAATATAAACAAGCATTTCACAGAAGAGGAACTCCAAATTTCCGTTAAACATCTGAAAATATTTTAAACTCTGGGGATGCAATTTAAAGTAACAGATGCCATTTTTCCAAAACCTATCAGATTGGCAAAAATTAGAAACAGGAATTTGCGGTGTTGGTGAAGATACACAGAAATGGACTCTCGTACATTGCTGGTGAGAGTATAAATTGCCTCCATCTTTTTGAAAAATAATTGGTGAAGTTTATTAAAATTTAAAGTATATGTAACTGACCCAACAACCCCATTTGGGGGAATATACAGCAATAGAAAGAAAAGTACCAGTTTGCAAGGGTATAGATTCAAGGACATTGATGGCAGCATTATTTGTGGCAGGAAGAACTGGACTCGAGCCAAATGCTTATCAACAGGAAAATGATGAATAAATTATGGTTCAGTCACAAAAGAGAATATTATGCAGAAATTAAAACAATGACTTAGAGCTGTATCTGTTGATTCGGTGGAATACATATGAAACATCTAAGTGAGGAAAGAAAGTTATAAATTAATGTGCATGTATACACACATATATATAATATGAAGCCATTTTTGTCAAAATTGACAAAATAGTCCTGGCTGCTGTGGGTCAGTGGATTGAGCACCAGCCTGCAAACTAAAAGGTCACCGATTTGGTTCCCAGTCAGGGAACAGGCCAGGGCTATCTCTAGCACATTGAGGTTCCTTCTCTCTGTTTCTCCGTCCCTTCCCCTTTCTAAAAATAAATAAATAAAATCTCTTTTGAAAAATGACAAAACAACCCTATTTATGTTCATGGAGAAAGATGTTAACATCAGTTTTCTGTGTTGGGAATGACAAGTTTGAGAAGAAAATCATTAACTTTATACATCTTTGCATTGACTTCTTTAGTTAGAATGAGCGTATACTTTGAAAAGAACTTCATAAAAGAGATATAATTCAAACAGGAGCATTCCTCAAGTTTTTTGTGAAAATTAATTGAGATCATACTAGATTAAGCTCTTGGCATGGTGCTTGATATATAGAAGGTGCCCAATAACCATTAGCTACTATTTGTTCATTTTTCACCCAGAAGTCTGGGGTACCCCTGCCCATCTTCCCAGATGCACTGGAGACCTGCTGAGCAGAGGAAAAGACTTCTGCTCAGTGGACTTCTCAAAATGAGATGCAGGAACTTTCAGCTGAGGGTTAAGTAGGACCCTGTGTATGTTTTGGAATTTTATGTGTGTATATAGATTTCAGGGAAGAAAGGCTGTGGCTTTCATCAGTTTATAAAGAGGTCTGTGATTGGAGAAAAGGATCTGCCCTTCTCTTGTCCTGACAGCATTGACTTGGGCAAGGCAAATGAACCCAATCACGTGGAGCTGGGGCGCAAGGATGATGCCAAAGTTCACAAGATGTTCCTGGACCATACAGGTGAGTGGTGATGGAGGTCTGAGGGGGTGGGGTGGGGGTGAGGCTAGGGTTAAGTCACTGCCTGGGTGGGTGGGATCTGAGGGTGGTTGGGGCAAGGAGGAGGCTGAGTGTGGGAATAGCAGCACCCTTTAGGATCCATGTTCTCCCCCCCTCTAGGCTCTCACCTGCTAATTGCTCTGAGCAGCACTGAGGTCCTCTATGTGAACCGTAATGGGCAGAAGGTACGGCCTCTGGCACGCTGGAAGGGGCAGCTGG